AACTAGAACGGAACTAGAAACTAGAACAGAACTAGAACAGAACTAGAACAGAACTAGAAACAGAACTAGAACAGAACTAGAACCAGAACTAGAACAGAACTAGAACAGAACTAGAACCAGAACTAGAACAGAACTAGAACAGAACTAGAACAGAACTAGAACAGAACTAGAACAGAACTAGAACAGAACTAGACAACAGAAGAACTAGAACAGAACTAGAACAGAACTAGAACAGAACTAGAACAGACTAGAAACTAGAACAGAACTAGAACATACTAGAACAGAACTAGAACAGAACTAGGAAACAGAATAGAACAGAACTAGAACAGAAACTAGAACAGAACTAGAAACAGAACAACAGGAACTAGAACAGAACTAGAAACAGAACTAGAACAGAACTAGAACAGAACTAGAAACAGGAACTAGAACAGAACTAGAACAGAACTAGAACAGAAAACAGAACTAGAACAGAACAGAACTAGAACAGAACTAGAACAGAACTAGAACAGAACTAGAACAGAACTAGAACAGAACTAGAACAGAACTAGAACAGAACTAGAACAGAACTAGAACAGAACTAGAACAGAACTAGAACAGAACTAGAACAGAACTAGAACAGAACTAGAACAGAACTAGAACAGAACTAGAACAGAACTAGAACAGAACTAGAACAGAACTAGAACAGAACTAGAACAGAACTAGAACAGAACTAGAACAGAACTAGAACAGAACTAGAACAGAACTAGAACAGAACTAGAACAGAACTAGAACAGAACTAGAACACAACTAGAACAGAACTAGAACAGAACTAGAACAGAACAGAACAGAACTAGAACAACTAGAACAGAACTAGAACAGAACTAGAACAGAACTAGAACAGAACTAGAACAGAACTAGAACAAGAAAGAAAAATAAAAAAACTAGAACAGAACTAGAACAGAACTAGAACAGAACTAGAACAGAACTAGAACAGAACTAGAACAGAACTAGAACAGAACTAGAACAGAACTAGAACAGAACTAGAACAGAACTAGAACAGAACTAGAACAGAACTAGAACAGAACTAGAACAGAACTAGAACAGAACTAGAACAGAACTAGAACAGAACTAGAACAGAACTAGAACAGAACTAGAACAGAACTAGAACAGAACTAGAACAGAACTAGAACAGAACTAGAACAGAACTAGAACAGAACTAGAACAGAACTAGAACAGAACTAGAACAGAACTAGAACAGAACTAGAACAGAACTAGAACAGAACTAGAACAGAACTAGAACAGAACTAGAACAGAACTAGAACAGAACTAGAACAGATCTAAACAGAACTAGAACAGAATCTAAACAGAACTAGAACAGAACTGGAACAGAACTAGAACAGAACTAGAACAGAACTAGAACAGAACTAGAACAGAACTAGAACAGAACTAGAACAGAACTAGAAAACTAGAACAGAACTAGAAACAGAAACTAGAACAGAACTAGAAACAGAACTAGAACAGAACTAGAACAGAACTAGAACAGAACTAGAACAGAACTAGAACAGAACTAGAACAGAACTAGAACAGAACTAGAACAGAACTAGAACAGAACTAGAACAGAACTAGAACAGAACTAGAACAGAACTAGAACAGAACTAGAACAGAACTAGAACAGAACTAGAACAGAACTAGAACAGAACTAGAACAGAACTAGAACAGAACTAGAACAAAACTAGAACAGAACTAGTACTCAACTGAGTTAGAACTAACATGAACTTTTTATTTAAAATTCTACAATTCTTAAATTTTTCCTTTAATTGTTTTTTTACTCTTTAAACCAATTTATTAGCTAACAAATGAAAATTATACTTTTACTAATAATGAAAACATTTAAAAGGTATCTTTGTATAGCAAACATGCATTAGGTTGCATGCCACTAACTGTTTTAGAAAACTGGTGTGCGTTAAAAAAAAAAAAACAAAAAAAACTTTACTAGGCTAGACCCAAAATTCCACAGAAACCTAGAGAAATTAACTAAACTACTACGTTTAAGCTAAAAAAAATGAACAGCCAGCCAGCAAGTTCAAAAATCAATGTTTGCCAAAATGTTATTGACTTTTAAAGCAAAATAGTACAGACAATAAAAATTTATTATTGTACACAAAAAAGTTTTTGTATAAAACCTCAATTAGTGGCAAAAAATAAAAACAAACTTAGACAAAAATATTACCAAATTTTGTTACCAATCCTTAAGTCCTCTAGAGATAGAAAGAGAGAGAGAGAAGGAAAACTATAATTGTTGCCAGGATGTTTTAAATACTTTACTTAGTGTTTGTATAGTTAAGTGTTTTAAAAAAGCCACAGGTGGGTTAACCACATGTTAAACTAAGACTAAACTGTGTTCAACTGTCAGACAAATATTAGTATGAGAAAGTTTTCATTGCTATAACACACATACACACATACACAAGCCAAAAGGAATAAAATAGAGAAAAATGTTTAAAAACAATTTAAATTTAATAGAATAATTTGTTTTCAAAATATTAACATAAAAAATTTACAAAAAAGTATTAATTTTATAATTTTTGAAAAAGTAGCAAAATACTACTTTTTTAAAATTCAAAATTTTCTGCAAATTATTTAAAATTTCTTAAGTAATGAAAAAAATCAATTTAGTGCAATTTTTTAAATAGTAGTAGAAATAGTACCTTTTTAAAAATATAAATTTTCAAAATTTATAATTATTTTTCTTTACTGCTAATGATTTATATACTAAAAACTGCAAAAATTTTCATTCTAGAGACAATTTTGAAAAATAGTAGTAGAAATACTACCTTTTTAAAAATCACAATTTTCTAGATTTTTTCATAATTTAACGTTATTTTGCCTTAGTCCTAATGATTGGTAGACTTAAAACTGCAAAAATTTCATTTTCTAAAATAGTAGTAGAAAAACTACCTTTCTAAAAATCAAAATTTTCTAGATTTTTTTATAACGTTAGGCTATTTTGCTTTGATATTAATTAATGGTAGACTAAAAACTGCAAAAATTCAATTTTAGCCGCAATTTCTAAAATAGTAGTAGAAAAACTACCTTTTTGAAAATCAAAACTTTCTAAGTTTTTTCAAGATTTTAAGTTTTTACCTTAGTTTTAATGCAATTTTTTCATTTTAACGATAATTTCTAAAATAGTAGTAGAAATACTACCTTTTTAAATAACGAAATTTTCTTGATTTTTTAGGATTTCTAATTATTTTTCTTTAGTGCTAATGAATAATATACTAAAAAATTTCTATTCTAACAACAATTTTTTAAAATAGTAGTAGAAATACTACCTTTTTGAATATCAAAAATTTCATGATTATTTCATGATTTTAAATTGTTTTAATTTATTTTGGGTAAATGCTAATGTTCTACATACTAAAAACGGCAAAAATAGTCATTAATTCCAAAAATTAAAAAAGTAGTAGAAATACTATCTTTTTCAAAAATTAAATTTTTCGACATTTTAGCTATTTTTCTGTTAGTGTATAATATAATTGTGCTAAAATGTTATTTTTGTCTATTAATTCCACAAAGCAAAATATTAGTAGAAATGCTACCTCTTTTCAACAGCAGCTTTTTAATAAAATTTAAGTAAGTTTCAATATTTTAAGTAATTTTGAAGGTAATATAGAAGAAAAATATATTAAATTAATATTTTTCTACGTTTTTAAAAAAAGTAGTAGAAATACTACCTTTTTCAAAATTAAAATTTGACAAATTTCTTAATTTTTATGTTAATGTATTATAAAATTATGCAAAAATGCAATTTTAAGTCATTAATTCCCAAAAGCAAAATAGTAGTAGAAATACTACCTTTTTTAAAACGTATTATTTTAATGAAATTTTAGTTTTATTATCAAGTTTAAAGTTAAATTTCAATAAAATTATGTTCAATTAAGATTTTTGTACGTTTTTCAAAAAAGTAGTAGAAATACTACCTTTTTTAAAAAGGTTATTTTTAATATAATTTTAGCTTTTTTTTAAATTTTAAAATTTAAGAAGTTAACTTTCAATAAAATTATGTTCAATTAAGATTTCTGTAAGTTTTACAAAAAAGTAGTAGAAATACTACCTTTTTTAAAATTTTAGTTTCTGTTGTTGTTAATTTTTATGTTAGTTTATTATAAAATTAGGCTAAAATATGATTTTTAAGCACGTGTATTATACAATTAGGTCAAAATGTGATTTTTAAGCACTTTTCAAAAAGTAGTAGAAATACTACCTTTTTTAAATTTGCAGTTTTTATGATTTTTTTGATATTTTCTTTAAGAAATAATTTCAAATAAATATATTATTTGTTTATTTACAAATATTTAACATTTCTAACATTGTTTTTGTAGCACAAAAACAAAATTGTATTTGTTTAAAATAGCCGAAACAGCATACGCCAAAACACCTGTTCTTTCTAAAGAGTATGTATTACCATTTCTCTGCCAAAAATTCAAAATATAATAAGTAGTATCTATGCTATCATGGTGGTCGTTATCTTATCAGTTTGGGGGCAAAGAGAAAAGAACTCACACACCCACCCATCAAAAGATGTTCAGCGACCTTTACAAATATTGTATTTTTCTTGATTCTATTTACACAAAAGTGTGTTTGAAGAATTGTTTGATTTGTTTTGTTTTAACATAATTTACAACAAATCAATAAAGCCGCAAAGAATTTTGACACAAAATGAATTACATGAAGTTTATAGGTTAATGACATTTGGTAGGAGGGAAAAAGTCATCATCATTTCTATAATTCTAAGTTTTAGAGTTTTTCACCTTTGGCCACCTTAATGTCTTTATATTCACCACTCTTTAGCCAAGACAACAACCTTGTATGTGTATGCTAAAGCTTTAGCTTAACAGTAAAGTTTTGCTGTTATGTTTTCTACTAACAGTGGAGCTAAACAGTGAATATTCACATAGTTTTTTTCTGAATAAGTTTTAATGTAATTTTCTCTCTCTCTCTCTCTCTTTTTCATACAGCAAATCCAAAATGATTTAACCTTTGAAGATACCTTTGATATCGATCAATTCGAAGATGCTGCCTCATCGACTAAACTACGTAGTGCGCGTGACCTGGACGAAAAAGCCTTTATCGAAGATGAACTCCAACCAGTGGATGAGGCCGACAATGAGGGCTCCTCCTCCTCTAACGATGGCAGTTGGTTAATGCAAAGCGTTAAGCGTGTACGCCGTGAGCTGGGCCGCCTATTCGGTAGTGAAGAGAAAAAATTGGTGGCCGATAAGAAGCATGCCAAAAATGCCGCCAAATTGGAAAAGCAACGTAAACGTCAGGCTAAATTGGCGGAAAAACAAAAACGCAAAGCAGCCAATGCGGCACGCAATAACAAGGCTAAAAACCGTTTGAATAAACGTCAATCGTATGGTGATGAAGTTGAGGGTTCCGGTGATGATACCGAGGGTTATGGCGAGCATGATACTTGTAGGAACAAAACTTTCTAAACTTTTTTTTCTTGCCTTTAAATAAAAACTAAACATTTTCTTCTTAAAGGGCAAACTTTGTTCAGCTTAAGTGAACCTTGGATGGATGAATATCGTCTGGGTAAAGGTAATGCTAGATTTATGGAATTGCAACAACAAATCCATGAAGGTTTCTTACATTTCATCACTGATAACTATGGCAATGATGAGGATGAAGATTCTTATTTGCATACCACTTTAATAAGAGTAGAGTAAGTTTTTTGGTTTCTTTGGCACAAAAAAGCTCTTTTACTTAACCGCTATCCCCTCTCCCCCTTTTAGACCCACCCATGATAGCTTTTTTATACATGTTATTGTACAAATCGATTTGCCTGAAAGATGGAGCGATTTTGGTCAACGTTTCCAACAGCATTTGATGGGCTATAAGAAATTGGGTGATACTTTCGGAGCCGATGCCGATAATAGTTATTATTTCAGACGTGTTAGAGGTAAGTAACTCTATAGGTTAGGGTTATAATTGTTTAGGAAAACCTGACTTGCTAACTTTTTTTTTTTTGTAAAAAGTACTGGAAATTAATTTGAAAAATTTTGTTAATTTAAACTTTTAAATTAAAAAAATTTAAAGTAGTTTTTGGCAAACAGGGGTAGAAATTAGACAAAGGTCTTAAATTAAGCTTAAACACTCTATACATAAACATACAAAAACAAAACATTTTCTTAAACATTTCAAAAAAAAAAAAAACATACTTAAAACACTCTATTGTAAATTAATCATTCAAACAAATCAAAAAACAAAACCCCCCCATCATTCATTCAGATCTTCAAGATCACGAAAGAGTCGATCTGACGGACGACTACAATCACAATGGCGCTGAAACTCATCATCAAGGTGAAGGTGTAGACATGAACAATGCTTATCATGGTGCTGGTGAAGGTACAGCCACACATCATACAAATAACGCAGCCGGAGCTGGTGGTCATTACGATAATGCCGGTGGTCATTTTGACTTTGATGAATGTGATGAACAGGGCAATTTCGAATGTCGCAACGGTCAAATTATCAAATGTGATAATCTCTGCAATAACTATGGCGATTGTGATGATGACAGTGATGAGGATACGGATATTTGCAATAAATACAATCATGAAGAAGTTGATGAAGATTTGGATGAAGAAGAAGATATTGTGACATCACAAGAGGGCCATCGTGGTGAAGGTGAGACCACCGATACACCCAATTATGATGATAATACTGCCTACGATCCTTATGATTACGATAGAGAGCAGGAAATGGAAAGAGAAAGACAAATGGAAATACAACGTGAAAGAGAGCGTCAAATCGAATTGGAACAGGAGAGACAAAGACAATTGCAACACGAACGTGAAATGGCCGAACAAGAACGTGCCAAGCAATACGAAGCCGAAAGAGAAAGAGAGGAACAGGAACGTGCTAGACAATACGAAGAACAACTTGCTCGCGAAGAGGAGGAAAGAGCCCGTCAATATGAATTGGAAGAACAGGAAAGAGAGCGACAAGAACGCGAGAGAGAAGAACAAGAACGTCGTGAACAAGAAATGGAATATGAACGTGAACATGGTCAACCCGATCATGATCAAACCTATGGCCATGAGTATCAACCAGAATCCCAACCGGGTCACGATCAAACCTATGGTCATGAATATCAACCACAACCTCAACCTGGACACGATCAATCATATGGTCAACCACAACCGGGACACGATCAATCATACGGTCAACCACAACCGGGACACGATCAATCATATGGTCAACCACAACCGGGACACGATCAATCATATGGCCATGACTATCAGCCCGGAACAAGTGCAGAAGATTCCGAAGCCAATCTATACGATTGTCATGCTAATCCCCATGGCTATTTCATTTGTCAAAGTGGTGAACCTGTACCTTGTGCCAATGTCTGCGATAATCGTTACGATTGCGAAGATGGCAGTGATGAATTGTCATGTGATGCAGGTAGATACCATATTACACATACTATATTCAAGCATAATCCAACAGCTACTACAACAATAACCATAACGAAAGCAAAAAAAAAAAAAAAAAAAAAAACACTGAAACTACCCAGCACCTTAACACACTCATACAATCTTCGTTTTTGAAGAAAAAGCTTTTTAACTTTAGTCTTATATACGGGTATTCTACTAATCATGTTGGTCTGTAGTTTGAAAAAAAAAATGGATTCGTACTAACTCTTCACCAAAAAGAAACCTGGAACTTTTAAGCACTTCTCTAACAATTCATTACAAAGTTAAAAAACCCATTTATAAACTCATTTTAACCTTTAAAAAAGCTCATTATTAGCATTAACTTTAAAGCTGAATACAAAAAGCTTTAAAACATTAAAAAAACATCAAACGGGTATCTAGCATATTCTATGTAAAATTCATAAAATTTAGTCAAAAAATAACTTAAAGCTTTCAAAAGCTTTTCATTACATAAAACGCTTTTCATTAAATAAAAAGCTTTTTCATAAATTTCTTTCAAAATCATAAATCCTTCCAAAAAATCATTTAAAAAACCCGAAAATTCATTAACTCATTAAAAGCTTTTTGTAGTTTTTAATAAAAATTTGCAAAAGCTTAAAGTTTTTGACAAAAAAAAATAAGTTCTATAAAAAGAAATGTATTTAATTTAGGGACGGAATATACTCCAGCATTTTTAAATGATTTTTAAGAAATTTTGGAAAAAAGCTTTCAAAAGCTTTATAAAAACTTTTACATTTTATGACAAAAGTATTAAATAATGGCAACAAAGTTTAAATAAAATCAAAATAATTTTTACCATTTTAAGCTAAAGCCTGTAATTTGCATAGAAAAACTTTAAGCTTTCAAAAGTTTTGTGGAAATTTTTAACATTTTATAACATAAGTTTGCAATTTTGTTCTAAATGATTAAATAAAATCAAATAACTAATTTCCTGGAAATTTTGGAAAAAAAGCTTTTAAAAGCTCTAAAACAATTCTTAACATTTTAAGTCAAAAGTTTTAATTTTTGTAAAAAAATAAAAAAATATATTTGAAGAATTTTAAAAACGCTTTTTGAAGCTTTTTCAAATCACATTTTAAACTGTTTTTGAAAAAGAGCTTTTAAAAGCATTTTTTTAATTTGAAAATTTTTTTTTAACTTGAAATGGTTATTTTTATCAAAATAGTTTAAAAAATTTATAAAAAAACATTTTTTTTTTTAATTTTAGAAGAGGAGCTTTGGAAAGCTTTCTGATTTTTTTGAAGAAGTTAAAAATAAACGAATTTTTAGCTTAAAATTATATTTTTTTGATAATAAAACTTTAAAAAATTGACGGTTTTCGTTAAAAATCACAAAAAATATTGTAAAAGCTTTTGAAAGCTTTTTTAAAAATGTAGAATTTTATATGATTTTGTTATGAAAAATTTAAGATATTAAAACCTGAAAAACTTTGGGACCATTTACTTACTTTTACTAAGTAGGTTTAGTAAAAGCTTTTAAAATTTATAACGTTTTTCTCATTCATTCATTATTGTAATTATTTTAATCTAAATGTCATGATTGAAATTTAAAAAAAAATACTAATATAAATTTAAGGACTTAATTAGAACTTTGTAACTAAAACCTGTAGTTTTGGAGAAATTTTTGTAGGGGGACAAATTAACAATCTGTAATAATATATATGTAGAACTAAAACTTAGTTTTAAGTAACAAAAAAAATTGTGTGTTTTTAAAGTACTGTCTTTATGTCCCATATAAATTTATAAAGCTTTCTATAGCTTATACTTGGTCTTCAATGTGTATGTCTTGTAATCCGAAAAAAATATATATATTCCTTCCCTACCTACCACAACTCCTTAACTCCCATAACTTTTGATAATTCCTCCCTCAAAACAAATCTGTGTCTTTGTTACTCTATGTGTTTGTGTTTCTGCGTTACAACCTCCAAAAAAAGCTCTTTTCCCGGCTTTGGCTTTATGTTTGTTTAGCAACCTAAGAAAAAACATTTTCTTTATCATAATTTTAAAAAACCCAACTCAAAATTCCTTTAGACACACCCACCGAAGAGGCTCCCGTTGATGAAAACGTTTACGAAAGTGAACATGAATCTCACCATGTACCCGAATTTGAAGCTTCCGGCGAAGATTATGTGCCCATTACTGAAACCAGCCCTGTTTACACCAGCATTTATGATGGTGGTTGCCGTGGCGATACCACTTTCACTTGTTCCGAAAGTGGCAAAACCATTTGCGAAGAACAATTGTGCGATGGTGAAGAACAGTGTCCCGATGGTGAGGATGAAATGAACTGTCCTTCGGAAGGTTACGATGAAAATGGCACCGATGGAGAAACCGAATATGAACCTGGTACTGTGTTTGTGTTATCACTCAATCACTCACTTTCTGTCTGTCTCTGTTTTTGTGTATTACATTTATTATTGTGGTTGTGTGTGTGTTTCTGTACCTTTTTTGGAACATGTCCTCTCATAGCTGACAGGTTACCAAATCATATTGTTTGTTCCCTTTCATCATTATTGTGTGTGTTTTTTCAATCCCTTAAAACATTTCCTTTTCATCAGAAAAGTTTAAAAGTCATTAAGTGTTTATATTTAAAGAAGACTTTTAGAGATTTATTCGAATAAAAACCGGTTTTAATTCGAATATAAAACAGCATATATACCAGACAACAACTTACATTATATATGACGGTAGTGTTAGTTCTGTTCTAGTTCTGTTCTAGTTCTGTTCTAGTTCTGTTCTAGTTCTGTTCTAGTTCTGTTCTAGTTCTGTTCTAGTTCTGTTCTAGTTCTGTTCTAGTTCTGTTCTAGTTCTGTTCTAGTTCTGTTCTAGTTCTGTTCTAGTTCTGTTCTAGTTCTGTTCTAGTTCTGTTCTAGTTCTGTTCTAGTTCTGTTCTAGTTCCGTTCTAGTTCTGTTCTAGTTCTGTTCTAGTTCTGTTCTAGTTCCGTTCTAGTTCTCTTCTAGTTCTAGTTCTGTTCTAGTTCTAGTTCTGTTCTAGTTCTAATTCTAGATCTGTTCTAGTTCTGTTCTAGTTCTGTTCTAGTTCTGTTCTAGTTCTGTTCTAGTTCTGTTCTAGTTCTAGTTCTGTTCTAGTTCTAGTTCTAATTCTAGATCTGTTCTAGTTCTAGTTCTGTTCTAGTTCTGTTCTGTTCTGTTCTGTTCTAGCTCTAGTTCTGTTCTAGTTCTGTTCTAGTTCTGTTCTAGTTCTGTTCTAGTTCTGTTCTAGTTCTGTTCTAGTTCTGTTCTAGTTCTGTTCTAGTTCTGTTCTAGTTCTGTTCTAGTTCTGTTCTAGTTCTGTTCTAGTTCTGTTCTAGTTCTGTTCTAGTTCTGTTCTAGTTCTGTTCTAGTTCTGTTCTAGTTCTGTTCTAGTTCTGTTCTAGTTCTGTTCTAGTTCTGTTCTAGTTCTGTTCTAGTTCTGTTCTAGTTCTGTTCTAGTTCTGTTCTAGTTCAGTTCTAGTTCAGTTCTAGTTCAGTTCTAGTTCAGTTCTAGTTCAGTTCTAGTTCGGTTCTAGTTCAGTTCTAGTTCAGTTCTAGTTCAGTTCTAGTTCAGTTCTAGTTCAGTTCTAGTTCAGTTCTTGTTCAGTTCTAGTTCAGTTCTAGTTCAGTTCTAGTTCAGTTCTAGTTCAGTTCTAGTTCAGTTCTAGTTCAGTTCTAGTTCAGTTCTAGTTCAGTTCTAGTTCAGTTCTAGTTCAGTTCTAGTTCAGTTCTAGTTCAGTTCTAGTTCTGTTCTAGTACTATTCTAGTACTATTCTAGTTCTGTTCTAGTTCAGTTCTAGTTCTGTTCTAGTTCTGTTCTAGTTCTGTTCTAGTTCTGTTCTAGTTCTGTTCTAGTTCTGTTCTAGTTTCTTCTAGTTCTGTTCTAGTTCTGTTCTAGTTCTGTTCTAGTTCTGTTCTAGTTCTGTTCTAGTTCTGTTCTAGTTCTGTTCTAGTTCTGTTCTAGTTCTGTTCTAGTTCTGTTCTAGTTCTGTTCTAGTTCTGTTCTAGTTCTGTTCTAGTTCTGTTCTAGTTCAGTTCTAGTTCCGTTCTAGTTCAGTTCTAGTTCAGTTCTAGTTCAGTTCTAGTTCAGTTCTAGTTTAGTTCTAGTTCAGTTCTAGTTCAGTTCTAGTTTAGTTCTAGTTCAGTTCTAGTTCAGTTCTAGTTCAGTTCTAGTTCAGTTTTATTACTTTACATTATAGACTGCACTTGGCTACTGTAGACCAGACTTTAAAAAATTTTTGAACGGTTGCTTCTTTTAAGTAATCATTAATTTTTGAAGTACATAGTTATAATTTTAAGAATATGTCTGCATAGTTTCATTGCAGCTCTTAGTTATTTTAAAAAATGTTTATATATTTAAGCGGTTACTTTTCCAAAATAACCATTAAAATTTTGTTAATATTTTAGCATTATGTATAAAGAACAAATTCACCTGTTACTAAAAACAAATCAATGCATATATCTCTTAACTTACTTAGCTAACATTTTGTATGTGTTTTCTGTTAATATTCTGTTGAAAAAATATTTACTTTTTTATGATTAAATTAATATGTGAATTTTTTATTTTTCAAAAAAAAAAAAAATTCAAATGAATGAACAGAAAGCGAATGCGAAGAAAATGAATTCAGATGTGATAATCGTTGTCTACCCAAAGAATATTTATGCAATGGTGTTCATGAATGTGGCGACAACACCGATGAATTAAATTGTCCCGAAAAAGGTGAGCTTTTTTATAAAATTTTATTTAACTTATTAAAAAAACCATGGAAATCAGAGTTAAGGAAAAACCTTTAGAAAATTTAAATTTTGATAAAAAATTTGAATATTTGTGGTTAAATCTTAACTATTGTTTTTCCATAGTTTTATATTTTTAAGTTTATTTTAAGTTTATTCATGTTTTGATATAATTTGCATAAAACGATTTTGAGTTATTTTTCGTAAGAAATTTATTTTTAGTTAAAAACACTTGAAGTTTTTTGGTTTGAAAATTAATTTAAATATTTTCATGGCATTTAACAGAAAACAGATCATTTTTAGTTTTAAGTGTTTGTTTCAGAATAATCTATAGTTTTTCAATTAATTTTTGCCAACATAATGACCCTGAAAATAATATTTACCAATAACAAAAGTTCAAATGAAATAATCTAAAACCAGTGATTAAAATTACTAATATATTAGTAACCAAAATGCATATTTTCTCCTATGCATACGTATGTAATATTAAAATATAAATATATTTTATGAATATAATATATTTAATTGCTACCATTCGAAATATTTCTAGTATTTTTGCTAAAAATATTTACCCATACAAACTATTGCATATTACAGCTTACAGACAAATATAAAATGTTTTCACATACAATATATTACGCAGCAACTCGCTAACATATTTATAATACCCACATATATTTCATATGGCTTGCCTATAATATTAAAATATTTTCCTACACAAATTATTCGCAGTCAACAATATTGAAGCCATGCGAGCAGTAATATACGAACATGAAATGTACGCAAGCAGAGCATATATGTGCCGACGAAAACACGAAACAAAACGATAGTCGCGACTATCAGGTTACAATATTTTTACTATCAAACTTAAATATTATTTACTATAGGAAATGACTTATGGTCTAAAATTTAACATTTCATGTTGAACTTGAAAAATTATAAAATGTGAAAAATGTATGCAAGATATAACCAAATTTTATTTAGAAAATAATTGAAAACGTTTATATCTATGTATGTTTTATGTATATTATGGGAAAAATGTATGCATGAAATAACCAAATTTTAATTAGAAAATTTTTGAATTGAATTATTGAATGTATGTATTTATTAAATTTATGTTTAATTTTTATGTGGAGTATTAAAATGTATGTATTTGTATTGATTGTAATATAATTAGAAAAAAATTATATAAATACTTAGAGGATCATATGAATGTAAAAATATATTCAAATATGCAACACCATTTATATCTGGTTTTGTATATACATACAGTGTCTCTCATAATTATTCGAATTTGGGTAAACTATAAAAAGAAACCAAATTTAATAATATATTTTGTGTGCAAAATAAATAAATTAATTTGTTATATTGTCTAGATAGTCCTTATGTTTGATATCACGCTTTTTAAAACTTGAAAAATTTGCATTGACTTAAATTAATTGTGCTTTTTTAAAAAAAGTCCATGAAATTGCCTCACAAAAGTATACGAATTTTTCCTGTATTTCATATTTGATCATATTATACGCAACACAAATTTTAGAATCGAATGGTTTTTATGCGTAATATTGTTTTAAGGGGTTACTATCCACGGAAAGGATATATTTTTGGCCCATTTGGTCCACAATTTTGGGGAATTTGTACCCTCTTTTCATGTAAAATCATTAAAATGGCGATTTTTGGCCATAATTGCAAATTTTTCTCCTTTTTTCCAGATATAAAACAAAAATTTGATATTGGGACTTAAAAGACCCCTTGGGGTATCTAAAAATAATATTTTTTGTTACAAGAATCTGTATTTAAACGTTCCAAGATAAATTATTCGGATCATTCTTCTGTCGCTAGTTCAATATATTGGAACTTAAGTCCATTTTTATAATACTACGATCAACTATTTTCGGGGAAAGTTTTCTGGTATATATTCTTTTAGATATCAGCTTTTATACATTTTAAGTTTTCAATGTGTTGTGGAAGTGTAAAACTCCAAAACATGCCTCGAAGAAGCACCATTCAAAATAGTAAAATCATTATTTTTATATACCAATGGCCTCCGTGCTGCATGGCACGATATCATTATGATCACATCAAAAATGTTGATATGTGTTTAAATATTATTTACTATGATCAAATTAAAACCAAAATTTAGGACTTACAGTGTTATTGTAACGGGCTACATAAGCGTGAAAGTTACGAGTAGTAAAAACTGAAATCTACTATATAGGATGACGTTTTGTTAAGGCATGTTTTGGGGTTGTATACCGCTATAATATATTGAAAATTTAAAATACATTAGTGCCAATATGTACTTGAATATACACTAGACAACTTTGTCGGAAAATATCGTCCCTAGAGGTACGAAAAGGGACTTATGATCCAGATAATTCAATTAGAAACTGAAAAACGATACCAAAAAATACATCTTGGAACGTTTAAGTACAGATCCTTATAACAAAAAATATTATTTTTAGATACCCTATGGGTTCTATTAAATTCCAATATTAAATTTTGGTTTTATCTCTGGAAAAAGGGTGAAAACATACAAATATAGCCAAAAATCGCCATTTTAATGATATTACATGAAAAGGGGGTACAAATTCCCCAAAATTGTGGACCAAATGGGTCAAAAATATATCCATGCGGTTGATAGTAACCCCTTAAAACAATATTAAGCATAAAACCATGCGATTCTAAAATTTGTGTATCGTATAATATGATCAAATATGAAATATGGGAAAAATTCGCATACTTTTGTGAAGTAGTTTCATGGACTTTTTTTAAAAAAAGCACAAATAATTTAAGTAAATGTAAATTTTTCAAATTTTAAGGGGCGTGATATCAAAACTAAGGACTATCTAGACAATATAAAAAATTAATTTATTTATTTTCCACACAAAATATATTATTAAATTTGGTTTCTTTTCATAGTTTACCTAAATTCGAATACTTATGAGAGACACTGTATGTATGTATGTAAGTATGTGTGAAACAATAACAAAAAACACATTCGTCATAAAAATGACCTGTAACAGCACTTTTCTTTCCTACTTTTCACGCACATTCCATAACGGTGGATTACGATAGGTCATTTTTTCCCTGAATTGGTGGAGGGAAGAAGATATGTACGTGTGATGCAAAAATACATTCGTCATAAAAATGACCTGTAGTAGAAATTCTCTTCCTACTTTATCATTTTACGCACATTCCTTAACGATGGTTTACGCAAGATCCTTTTTTTTGCTTTACTTGAATTTGTGGTGGGGAGAAGAGGAAAGAAATATCATTATTATTTAGTCTCTCTCATGCAAATTCAAAAGGTTGGCAATGGCATATGCAAATTTATTAACACCTATATATTTTTTTCTTCGCGCCTGTTCATTCATTATTGTAAGATAATTGAGTGTATGTAATAATAATTTATAGAAATGTGACACATGCATATGAAAAACATACTTGTATATGTATGTAATACACTCATACATTTTTGTTGTTTTAACCTTTCACAATGTAAAATTACAAAAACAAATTTTTATGTTTTTATGTCCCCTCTTAATTTTTTGCTATCCTGTTACAAATTTCTAAAATACCTATAATTTCCTTCATTATTGATCATTTCATAGACACTACTAATGCATTACTACCTGTTTACAAACTTATTGTCATCCTGTTACAAACAATATGTTTAAATATAGCCTGTAAAAACAATTTTTTACATATATACATATTTGAATATATTTTTACATTCATATGATCCTCTAAGTATTTATATAATTTTTTTCTAATTATATTACAATCAATACAAATACATACATTTTAATACTCCACATAAAAATTAAACATAAATTTAATAAATACATACATTCAATAATTCAATACAAAAATTTTCTAATTAAAATTTGGTTATTTCATGCATACATTTTTCCCATAATATACATAAAACATACATAGATATAAACGTTTTCAATTATTTTCTAAATAAAATTTGGTTATATCTTGCATACATTTTTCATATTTTATAATTTTTCAAGTTCAACATGAAATGTTAAATTTTAGACCATAAGTCATTTCCTATAGTAAATAATATTTAAGTTTGATAGTAAAAATATTGTAACCTGATAGTCGCGACTATCGTTTTGTTTCGTGTTTTCGTCGGCACATATATGCTCTGCTTGCGTACATTTCATGTTCGTATATTACTGCTCGCATGGCTTCAATATTGTTGACTGCGAATAATTTGTGTAGGAAAATATTTTAATATTATAGGCAAGCCATATGAAATATATGTGGGTATTATAAATATGTTAGCGAGTTGCTGCGTAATATATTGTAAGTGAAAACATTTTATATTTGTCTGTAAGCTGTAATATGCAATAGTTTGTATGGGTAAATATTTTTAGCAAAAATACTAGAAATATTTTGAACAGAACCATTTTTTAAATATGCATATTTTTAAATATGAGGTAAATGCATATTTATTGCAAAGTCAAAAATAAAAATATAAAATCATCTACTAATATTTAAACTCTGTCTAAAACACTGCTATTCACAGCAGTAACCAAGCAAACATTTACTAAGCAGACTTAAAACAAATTTTATATCTTTTATCTTATTGCATAGACTTCAAAATGTTTGCTGGGCTTTTCTGTTACAAAACCCTAAGGTCATATTGTTTGCTTGCCACAGTATTTAATGTAAAATATTGTTTTTGAATATATTGTTGTGGGTGTTAACAAACCATACAAGAGATTAGTATTAAATAAATTCTAACATACAAATTATGTTTTACCCAAAAGTTTTGACACATTTTTTGCCAAAAAAAAAAAAAAAACAAGAACGGAGGAGTTTTCATTTAGTTTGGAAGAGAAAGTATAAAATATTTTAATTAAAACTATTTTAAATACAAACACAAAAACTATTGGTGAAATGCAAGAGATTAGATTACGAACCATTTAATTTAAAGTTAAAAATTAAACATTAGACTAGACTATAGAC